GAAGTCTTATGTAAACAAATACCGCGAGATGAATTTCGAAATATGAAAATAGGCTGCCGTCTGTCTGCTGTAACCGTTTTTGTCTTCTACATTGTTCTTTCTTTCGTTTGATAATGGTCTGTTGGCCGAAATATCACGTAAATAAAAAGGTGATTTTTCATTAATTTTGCTATAGATTCGAGGAAAAAGGTCAATGTTTTTCTTTCATATAATTGTATCTATCATGTTCCTCGCCAGAGCACTGGCAAACATTAATACTATCGAGCCCATTGTTGACCGCAGGCCAGTGCTCGTCCAAACTTTAAAGAACCCAGAAAAGTTAGCGAAAACGGAGCTACAAATTGAATTCCTTGTAGCATGCAGACAGTCGGGTGTTACTCCAAGATTCATCAGCGATAGCATGAGACCAGTTAATACAGTGTTTGAGAAGAACAGCAAAGTACAGCAATCATGTGAAAAGTTTATGAAATCTCTACTCAACGAAGCCATTTCCGAAGCTTTCCGACGAAGGGCTTTTCTAAAACGTGAAAGAGATAGGCTATTCGATCGTATTCGAGGATTTTTTGACGCGGACAAGTTTATTTGGGTATGCCGCACATGCGTACGAGTGTTTGACCTGACCATCGCGGAGAACAGACCTCGTCTCATGAACAAATATGACCGTCTCAAGCGAGAGGCTCATGACAAACTCGTGTTGATGACAACCGTTGAAACCCAAGACACAGCTCCTCGGGTGAACAACTTGTCGTCTCGCCCAATATGTGATTCAGGCATGAAGCTGCTGGCCAAGGGACCCAACTTTGCCATAACGCAGGATGTCACCAAGAAGATTCTGGTTGATGTTGAGAAGGCTATTGAAAGATTTGCTTACGGTAAGAGATGGAAGGATGAGATAGTTAGACAAGCACGAGCCAGACTACCGTCAGCTCCAGTTGTGGCTCAGGGAGCACCGTCAGCTCTAGTCGGTGCCGGCGCCCTCCAGCAGACAACGTCAGCTCCAGCTCCAGCTGGTTCCAGCGCCCTCCAGAGGACACCGTCAGCTCAGGTCGGTGCCGGCGCCCTCCAGCAGACACCGTCAGCTACAGCTCCAGTTGGTTCCGGCGCCCTCCAGAGGACACCGTCAGCTCAGGTCGGTGCCGGCGCCCTCCAGCAGACACCGTCAGCTACAGCTCCAGTCGTTTCCAGCGCCCTCCAGAGGACACCGTCAGCCCCAGTCGGTGCCGGCGTCCTTCAGAAGACACCGTCAGCTCCGGCTCCAGTCGGTTCCAGCGCCCTCCAGAGGACACCGTCAGTTCGAGTCGGTACCGGCGCCCTCCAGCAGACATCGTCAGCTCCAGCTCCAGTTGGTTCCGGCGCCCTCCAGAGGACACCGTCAGCTCAGGTCGGTGCCGGCGCCCTCCAGCAGACACCGTCAGCTACAGCTCCAGTCGTTTCCAGCGCCCTCCAGAGGACACCGTCAGCCCCAGTCGGTGCCGGCGTCCTTCAGAAGACACCGTCAGCTCCGGCTCCAGTCGGTTCCAGCGCCCTCCAGAGGACACCGTCAGTTCGAGTCGGTACCGGCGCCCTCCAGCAGACATCGTCAGCTCCAGCTCCAGTTGGTTCCGGCGCCCTCCAGAGGACACCGTCAGCTCAGGTCGGTGCCGGCGCCCTCCAGCAGACACCGTCAGCTACAGCTCCAGTCGGTTCCAGCGCCCTCCAGAGGACACCGTCAGCCCCAGTCGGTGCCGGCGTCCTTCAGAAGACACCGTCAGCTCCGGCTCCAGTCGGTTCCAGCGCCCTCCAGAGGACACCGTCAGTTCGAGTCGGTACCGGCGCCCTCCAGCAGACACCGTCAGCTCCAGCTCCAGTTGGTTCCGGCGCCCTCCAGAGGACACCGTCAGCTCAGGTCGGTGCCGGCGCCCTCCAGCAGACACCGTCAGCTACAGCTCCAGTCGGTTCCAGCGCCCTCCAGAGGACACCGTCAGCCCCAGTCGGTGCCGGCGTCCTTCAGAAGACACCGTCAGCTCCGGCTCCAGTCGGTTCCAGCGCCCTCCAGAGGACACTGCCAGTTCGAGTCGGGGTCCAGCAGACACCGTCAGCCCCAGTCGCGTCCCAGCGTACGCCGTCAGCTCCAGTCGGTGTCGGCGCCCTCCAGCAGGCACTGTCAGCTCCAGCCGGGGCCCAAGAGGCACCGGGACCTTCAGTCGACACCGGTGCTATCCAGCGGACGCAATCGGTCTCTACAGATGCACAACAGGCACCAGGAGCTCCATCCGACACCCAGCGAGCACCGTCAGCTTCTGCAGGCGCCCAGGGGTCAGCGACAACCGGTACGCATCGGTCACAAAATGACGAACCAAACTTGACCTTCCGTTTTCCCGACTTGGACAAACGGATTCCTCCCCCGACAAATAATCAGGCAGAGAGAAACCTGAAACAGCTTAAAGATGATTTACTCCGTACCTATAAGCACCACAAAACAGATCATGTCAATGTCACCCAGGATGAGATGTCGGCTTTGAGAACGCTAAAAAAAGATGATGCCATTATCTTAAAACCTAGCGATAAATGTAAGGGTTTTGTGATACTTGACAAAACTGACTATGTTGAGAAAGCTAACAACATTTTAGGAGATCGATCCAACTACGAACAACTGAAAAGAAATCCAGTTCCCAGGGTAGAGGCCTTGACTAAACGTACCCTAAAGCAGGTTACCAGTAACAAGCTTGATGACAATGTCATTCATGACCTAACACCTAACCATAGCCGTATCCCCTTGTTTTACGGGCTTCCCAAAGATCATAAACCGGGGGTCCCTCTTCGTCCCGTGATTTCAGCTTGTGGAGGCCCAACAGAGAAAACATCTTGTCTCATTGAACGTGTTTTGAGCCAATTGCTGAGATATGTGCCTACTCACCTACGGGACACCAAACATTTTTTGGACCATCTCGCTGACTACCAGCGACAACACACGATGCCAAGTGACATCATATTTTTCAGCATAGACGTAGTAAACCTGTATGGTTCCATTCCTTTAGATGAGGCAGTGGAGGCTGTTCGGGAAAAGTTGCAGGAGCATGTTACTGATATCAACATGTTCGGTTTGACACCCGATGACGTATGCACACTCCTGGACCAGTGTCTGAGGAATAACGTCTTTTGCTTTGACAAAGATTTCTACAAACAGAAAGTGGGAATCGCGATGGGTAACCCTTGCGCCCCTCCCGTTGCTATCCTCTTCCTAGACAGGCTGGAAAGACTGGCTTTACAAAACAGGGAGGCTAAGCCCGACCTGCTCTTGCGATACATTGATGATTACGGGGGAATCTGGACCCACGGGGAGGAAGCCCTGAAAGATTTCCTAGCGTATTTGAACTCACTTCATCCTACAGTAAAATTCACGATGGAGTTCACGAAGCAGGACTCGGGGGTCCCATACCTAGATACCCTGGTCTCTGTCGTTTCTGACAATGACATCACATTTCTGGCCACTGAACTGTACATTAAGCCTACCAACTCGGGCATAGTGCTTCATTTCTCTTCAGCTCATCCGTCGTCGACCAAAATTAGCATGGCTAGGAACCAGTTTAGAAGGGCCATAGCAGTATCGTCGAATAAGGACAGGGAAGAAAAGAGCGTGACAAAAATGTGGAATCTCCTTTCTAGCAACGGGTACCCTGAAAACGTGCTTAGGAGAACTCTAAGGGAAGCGAAAGCTGGGGGCACTAAACGGGGTTCTACAAAAGAGGATGTAGATGGCTTCTTGACTCTACCATATGTGGACGAGGAATTATTGAGCCGGGTGAAAGGTGTGGTGCGCAGGTCGGGAATGAACATCCGACTTGCTTAGCGAAACAAAAACAAACTGAAAAACGCGCTAGTCAGGTCAGCCTTCTCACCTCCTCTCTGTCCGGGTGCCAGTCGCGGGTGCTACTGCTGTAAGTGTGGCTTAGCAGGGAGATGCACGACCAAAAATGTGGTTTACAGGATCACGTGTACTCTCTGCAAGGAACAGCCGGCGGTGTATGTGGGAGAGAGCAAACGTCCTGTCAGACTGCGTTTTAACGAGCATGTGAGGAACATGCTGAGTGCGACTCCCGACACCCCCCTCGGAGACCACTTTAGAGTGGCTCACGGTCAGCTGTCATTAGACAGAGGGGCGGATCTACCACTTACGGTGGAGATACTGCACCAGGCTCTGGACTACCCAGACAGAAAGATAGCAGAGTCCATCACTATCAGAGATTCGGAGCCCTCCCTGAACGAACGTCTTGTGTCTTGGCCTATCATATAAGTGTGTAAGATAGCGTATGCAGCGTGTGAATTCGAGTCATCGATCGTATCGAATGTCAAAAAGTGTTATGATGAGTTATATGTCCTGATTTTATCTCGTTTTTTTATCGCTCGTTTTATGTATGTGTGTACGGTACATCGGAAACATCTTAGCATAACCAAGGATGTTCTTCCATTGAAGTCTTATGTAAACAAATACCGCGAGATGAATTTCGAAATATGAAAATAGGCTGCCGTCTGTCTGCTGTAACCGTTTTTGTCTTCTACATTGTTCTTTCTTTCGTTTGATAATGGTCTGTTGGCCGAAATATCACGTAAATAAAAAGGTGATTTTTCATTAATTTTGCTATAGATTCGAGGAAAAAGGTCAATGTTTTTCTTTCATATAATTGTAAGAATCGTTTTTCACTAAACCCATTAGTTTTTCCGAAAATGCGTAAAAAAGCCCCCATGCCTCGGCAGCCTCCCTTCCGCCGGCCGCCGCGCCGCCGCGGTAGTGTAGTGGTTAGGATGCTTGCGCCGTAATCCAAAGATCGTGCGTTCGAATCTAGGCGCGGGTCGTACTTAAATAGAAATTGCAAGCAAAATATGCGTTTTTTCTTGGTAAATCACTTATATTACAGCTAACCGTTCATAAAACTATCGATAACAATTGACTGAAACCCAATTTGTAGAATACATTATAATAAAACAAATTCAAATATGGCGGCCGTTGCGCCAGGCTCCGCCCCCGACTCCGCCCCTTCGTGTGACGTCATCTGTGCACCTGGACACACAGGGAGATAGGGGACGACATGGGCCTGGCGGACACTGTGTTCCGAAACACGAATACGATTTTGTGGAAGCATTTTTGCGCACGGTTCTACCGTGTTGAATGACACGTTGCCGTGTTTTACCCCTCTGCGTCGAGTTTAAAAACCCGAATGGGATTATTTGGGCCGCGATCTTGAGGGACATTAACACCAATTAACACTGTGGGTTGTTAACTTACTCGGTTCAGTTTCGCGCCAAATGCAGCGCCGCGTGGGCCTCAGTCGCCATCTTTGTGCGATCCAGGGAGGTCGTGTCTGTGCTGCGTGTGACGTCTTGTTGGTAAGTACAAGTGATGCTTGCTCCAAATTTTTCTTAGCAATAACATCAGTGATATTAAATGCCTTTTAGGCGTGGTTACATAAATATTATCCGTGTAGTGACTAGTGTGGCGTTATGGATGGAAAGGAGGAGCCCTCGGCCCTGATTCTCATTCTGCCACTCCACCACTGATGGCTATGTGTGCGTTTGTAAACATGCTACTTACATGAATAATTTTGACTGCACCTTTTCAACTTTTGCCATGTATCTACCAGCTAGTTATAATTAGTCTGCCTGGTTTCTCTCTTGCCCTCTCTCTCTCTCTCTCTCTCTCTCTCTCTCTCTCTCTCTCTCTCTCTCTCTCTCTCTCTCTCTCTCTCTTTTCCATGGTATCTCCCTCTGCTTTTCTATTTGTCTGTGGATAAGAAGTAGGTAGACATCTGTTTGGCTGCGAACTGACACAATTTATTTATTTCAGAATACGGCTCAAGATGAGCCGAACATAGGCGCGGGAGCCGGGGGGGCAGTGGGGGCAGCTTGCCCCCCCAACTCTAGGGCCGTGGGGGCGGTGCCCCCACAACTTTGAGACGAAATACTGCACTTTTTTTGCAAGTGTTTTTCTTTTTTTGTTGAAAAAGCCAAGGGATGAAAAATAAGTGGCCGAAAACCGGTGAGAAAACTAGATTTGGGGGTACCCTAGGTTCATCTCCATTATGGTGTGCCCCCCAGTCTGAAAGTAGTTCCCGCGCCTATGGAGCCGAATGAAGGTGAATCTCCAAGTCCCACAGTCAGAGCTCAAGACCGTGAGGCAGGACTTCATTCCTTGATGAATGCGGCTCAACTGCTAACAGGATAAGAAGGTATTATCCTATTTCTGCCGATTTATTATTTCACATATCACAAATCACAATTAGTGTCTGCATGGGACTCTGTTGTATTTTAGTAGACTAGGGTTTTGCCTTCTATAATATGAAGCCGATATTGAAAATTAAAATCACATGTTTAACATATTTATTATCGTCAAAAGCATAACCGATTACCCAAATCCGACGAGAGCCCGGGCGCCCCGGCGCCCCGCTCTACCCCTGCGCTCTCCCTCTCTCGCCTCTCTCGTCCCGCTCCCGTGGTCAGCTGTCCCGCTGTCCAAGCGCCAGGCCGTTGCCATAGCGACGGCTGACGGCCTCCTCCGGCGGACGGATCCGGACGCCTAAACTCAGCCTGAGCCGTCTGTATTTTGATGGTTCTTATAGGTATCTTGTTAGTTGTTTTGATGTGCATTGGCTATTGGGTTGATCAGGGTTGATGTTGGACGTAACCGATAATAGGTATAAACTATAGAGTCGATGGTGAACTTACCTAATCGCCAAGTATGTGTTAGTTTATAAACGTTGGCCTTTCGTGTAGAGTATAATGGCAGGGAATGGCCATTTAGAGGTCAAGGGACGGTCACTTCAGTAAAGGGTGCGAGCTTAACCCGCGACGCCCGCGACCCGCTGGGGAGTGGGAGGCACCCCTGTTGTTTTACGCTGATAACTCAAAAACGGCCGCGATTTTTAACTCGCCGATTCTAGTACTCCTCCGGACATCAATTTCACTCAACTCCTGAAAAATGCGTCCTAGGTCACCTCGGGTCATGAGTTATGGGGGTCAAACTGAGGTCATGTTCGGACATTTTCCGTCTAAAAAATAAAAAAGTCGTTCACGGGAATAAATCACAAAATAGATTTTCAATCAAAAGACTCAAAAATCGCACATTAGGTACAAAATGCATGGCAAAGGAAACTGCTACCACAAAATTTCCGAAAAAGAAATATCAATATTTTGATATTTCTACACTCAAAACTCCTCCAGTTTTTTTTTTAATTTAGGGAAGTTAAAAACGGAGCATATGTCGGAGAGATCCTTACCTATTCCTTATTGGCTATTGCCTTTACAGGGTGTCTCAAAAAAGTGTCACGGTTTTAAACATCTCCCGTTTCGTAACCATACACATCCTAAAAATTAACAAAATATGTGTCTGTAAAACTGCCAGTGATATAGTTATTTGAAAGACTAAAAAATAAAAAGCGACTGTTCTTGTGACGTCCGATTTTTTTTTTTCAGCACTTGTTAGGTACTGAAAGTAGCCTAGAGTAATATCTACGAAACTTGCCCCTCTCTTCCTGACTAAATAGGTATCAACGTAACGTTGATTTCCGAAAACGAAAACGTTGACAACGTTTTGTCGTCTCTTTTAAATGATAAGTCACTTTAATAAAATGTTTGTCATTATAAACTGCTACAATTTAACCTTGCTTGCCGTCCTGTGATGTCATAGGTCAAAGAAAAATGACATCGGGGAGACGCGTCGAATAACCTATATAAGCTGACCCGAAAAGGTCAACTTAAAAATTTGACCTCAGGTCAAGGTCACGGAAAAGGTCATGTTGCAAGTCATTCGATTCGTATTGTTAACCCGCGCCGGGCCGGTGCTCTGAGATTCCGCGCCGGGCCGGGGGGTGTCTGAACACCCCCCCCCCTTCTAACTCGGCTCCTGGGCCACGTAGCGACACGCGGTAAGCGGCAATCGAAAGAACGTCCAAAATAAGGACGAAAACACTTCGATCATTTTTTGGGTCAGGTCAAAGGTCAGGTCACCAGAGGTCGCCAAAGGTCAAATGTCCACTATTTCAACATTTTGGAAACTGCCAACGGCTATCTCGGGAACCGATAGAGCTACAGCGCCGCGGAAAAGCGCATTCGATAGCCCTTTTACAGACCTTTCTGAGTAATGTTCTCAGATTTGACCTCAGGTCAACGGTTTAGCCTCCAGGGGGCAAAAACTCCAAAAATAGTCGTTTTTACGAAAAACGTTTTTTCGGCAATAACTTTTGACTCAAAAGAGTCATGACATTACTTTTGCCACCATCGTGTTCCTCTCGTCGAGACGCGTCGAATGAACTATAATTTGACCTTAAAAGGTCAACTTGAAAATTTGACCTCAGGTCAAGGTCATGACCTGACCGGAAAAGGTCATGTTGCATATCAGTCGATCCGCAACGTCGAGCCGAACACATCTAAGGCGTTTTCAGCGCTCTAGCACGTCTCTATCAGAAGTTATTAGCGAAAAACTGTTAGATTCTGTTCGTGACCTGAGATGACCTCGGGGACATAACGAGGGGTCACAGTTGCCATTTTCCGGTTCAGTGAGTCCATTTTACCTACATCTCGATGTTTGAGAGTGTCTAGAATAACGTTCGTGCAAAACAGACGCTTTTCAATTTTCTCCCATTGACTTAAAATGGAGAGGTCGCAAAATTGACCTGACCTTAGGTCACCGATATCAAAATTCCGAGATATACATTTTATAGATAATGTTGCTCTAATCAATCGCTGAAAGTTTCAAGGCAATCGATCAATCGGTATAGCTATGACGAGCATTCTTATTTTTTCTGAGGTGAGGTCACTTGGCGTGACCTGGTGACCTGACCTAAGGTGACCTGGGTCTGAAATTTTCACAACATGTGCGGAAAAGATGCACAAACAGGTGTGCCAAAAACGGCGGCGCTCCGCGCCGCCGTTTTTGAGATATCTGCGAAAAACCGCAGGGGGGGGGGTGTTCAAACACCCCCCCCCCGGCCCGGCGCGGGTTAAAGGGACCCTCCCACCTTCAAAAAGTTTATGAATTGGCATGAAAGTGATGTCACTCGGTTCAGAAAGAGCGAAAACGAATATCTACCAAATTTCACCGAAAAATATTCACCGGTTTTCAAGATAAGACTTTTACTTTTGTTTACTTTTTTGGGATCTCCGCTGTTTCTAGCGACTTTATTTTAGAAGTGCGGCGTTTGCGGCAGATGTTGCGCGCAAATAGCATATAGGGGAGACCGGGGAGGTATGGGCCCCCTGGAGGTATGGGCCATCGCAGTTTTGAAGAAGTGTTGCGTATCTTTACACATTTGACCGCGTAAACTGGTAGCAGCCATTCCGTTATACAACCCACGTGATTTTCAAAATCTTCCTCAGTCTTCTTTGGCAATGAGCGGTGATAGGTAAGCGTTTTTGCCCTCTTCGAGTAAAATACTGCACATACAGAAAATTCGTGATAAATTTGAACCAGGCTCGTTTTATGATGTCAGACCAATGCTAACATAAAGTTTAAAGCATGCAAATTAAGACTGGATAGACAATTTGAAGCTTTCTTGCAGGATTATGAGCTGAGATGCTACGCAAATTCTGGCGTCATAACCGGGAGTTTCGGGCCACCCACCCCCGTTGATCTTAAATCAATAAAAAGATGCTTTCAATGAGTGTCATCTTCAATAAGTTTTATTTTTGTCGCGCAAGGTTGAAAATTTAACTTCAAATTTCATTCGAACCGAAAAATATTATTTATTTCATTTCATGGTGCATGATTGAGTTTACCAAAATACATATGTGCCCAAGTGACCTCCATGAAATAAGCTGTTGGCCGCTTATGCGGTTCCTGGGCTCTAAGAGAGATCAAGGTAGATACCAGCTACGAGTATTGTTCTCATTGTCGAGAAAAGAATATGAAACATGGCACCGGCCCATACCTACCTCCCGAGCCATGGCCCATACCTCCCGGTGTATTTTGATAGATCAAAAAAGCGCATTATTTATTTAAAGTTATCTCAAGACAAAATAGCTGATCCCAGATGTCTAATATCAGGCACACTTTGCAGGCGAAAGGCAATTTCACGTGCACAGAGTGAAAAACCGGGTTTAGCCACTGCTCACTGGAAGAAAATTGCCTTTTCACAAAACCGGCCCATACCTCCCGGGTCTCCCCTACCACCGCGTGCTACAAAACGTTTTAGTCAACATTTAAAAATCGTTAGATATCTGCGCTGACGTCACACATTCAGAGGGGTATTCCTCAGCATTAGCCCCTCTGAATCAAAATGCTGCAATTTTGAAATTCAATATTTCCGATTTAAGGCATTTCTCGATGTTGTGAGTGCCGAAACCGGTAATTGTGAGCCAGGGACCCCATTTTGGCTATCTCAACTCAAATCTAATGTTAAGGTGGGAGGGTCCCTTTAAGCTGAACACATTCCTGGTGTTTTCAGAAACTATTTGAAACGTTTCGTGACCTGAAATGACCTCAGAGGCATTAAAGGGGGTCACAGGTGCAATTTTCCGGTTCATTGTGCCATGTTCATCTGTGTCCCGATGTTTGAGGGTATTTACGGCCAAAAGAAGCGGATTTAAATGTTCTTCCATTGACTAAAAGTCAATAGAGGGGTCACAAAATCGACCTGACCTTACGTCGCAGATATCAAAATTCCGAGAAATGCAAATTGTTCATACTGACAAGCTCATGCAATAGCATGAGTTTCAAACTTCTGGGATGTACGAATATACTTTAGAAATGACTGAATCACAAAGTTTAAAGAGGCATGATCACTTAACTTGGACTGTGACCTGACCTTATGTGACCCGGGATCGAAAATATTACTCACGATGTGAAATTGATGTATTATAAGCTAAACCAAGTTTCGCAGCGCTGCTCGCCGATTTTTTTACACTCGCAAAAAACTGGCAGCTGTGGCCAACGCTCCCCCCCCCCGACCCCCCACCGTGCGAAGCTTAGAGTATGTATCATTATGCCGTTCATTCATGCACTTCGTCATTTACTGACATGATTTTTTTCTTATTTCAGACACGAACCAGAAGTTGGACGCTTTTTAGAATTTCCTCTCGTACCGCTATAGTGTCATGGGTGGAGGGGAGCGAGGCTGCCATCTCCGAAGACAACACGCCTCTGAGTGTGCGCCTCCTAGTTTGTGCGGCAATGTTCCCCGTGTTCAATGAGAAAATTCAATGCCCCAGCGGTCAGAACTCCCAGCTAGTATTGACGCAATAGCTCTCCCAAATGTCGACCGGAAAGTCGTTAAAAAAATCGTTGCGACGATCGGCTCGACAAGCTGAAGACCGCGCCAGTGAATGCATGTGAAACGGCACCTCTACTCTCCCATCGCCAGGTCCAAAGACGTGTTGTTCATAGGTGTCTTTCACAATACTAGTGTTGCTGATCGCGGAGGACCACTGTCCACTGCTCGTCCGCCGTGGTGTTAATCAATGAAATATTATGATATTATGATATTATGAGCACAAGGTCAATATTACCATTTTTATTGATTACAATCATGCTCAAAGAAACGTTGTACCATATAAAGCCGTGGTGTTACTTCTGATGAGGCTCAGAGCGCATGTGTATTGTTTACTGTGAACAATCTGTTGAAATATATAATGAGTAGATCTGTACTCTGAGACTTAATGAACTTGGCTAACGAGGATGTGTGTTAAAGCAAAACGAACTGTGTTACACGCCTCAATAATTATGTGGAATGAGTTGTATAAATGTATACTTCATGTCGATTTATTGCGGTTGAAGACGTTACCTCTGTTTAAACGCGGCTGGGCCTGTTACAGCCCCGTTTGCATCAAAGAAGGTACGCCTTTCATCGCAATAAGTCCACATGAATTATATATTCATATATTCATTCAACGTGATCATTGAATCGTGTAATGCAGCTCATTTGGCGTTAATATACATTCTAAAAGGAGGTACTGGACGGGAAGTATATGAACACGAACCGAGCTACGAAACACGTTACACGTTTATGGCGAGTTTACTAACATCTAATTTCCGGATATGTTAACACAAATAAGTTTATGTAGCCGATAATTATCCGAGCCCAGAAACACCAGTGGTGTTATTGGACACTTAACATCTTTAATGCGAGCTATTTTACACGTTATTCGATACGCTAGAAACATGTTGGCGAGTTATCGAACTCGGTAACACGTCTTTATCGAGTTACGGAATACCACTTTTTGGAAAGTCAAAACTCATACCGAGTTATGTAGCACGGATTTACCGTGTATGAGAAAACACGGTGGCGTGTTATGAGATACGGCTGTACCGAGTCGTTTTTGTCCATATAACACAAAACGTGCTATCATTTTTTACAGTGTACGTATTGAGCTTAACCACTAACCCTCGAGGGCCCGGAAGGGGGCGGGGGGCGTTTTTCGCCTCCCCTTAGGCGAATATTTGCGATACCTCATGAACGCTTAGGGATAGAAAGAGGAAACTTGCTGTTAGAAATGCTGATAAAAAAGGACCTAGCCTTCTTGATAACATCTCAGGGCCGATTTTTCAAAACTCCTGCACGGCAAACTTCGGTGTCACAGACGTGAACTTCCACCAGCTGCCAAAAATAGAGTTTTAGAGATAAGACAAATTACGAGCACGGTTGTGTAGCATTTGACCTAGGAAAAAATACTTAAGTAACTTTGGTGACCTGAGGTCAGAGGTCAGGTCAACGACCTTAAGCTGGGGCTTAAATTTTTTTCGCAAATAACTTCAACAAAAATGGTCCTAGAGCTACGGCAGCGGTACTTTCGCATTCGTCTCGTCGAGACATGTCGAATGACATGTATATTGTTTGGAAAAGGTCAAGTTTTATGTTGACCTCATGTGACCTCGAATGACCTTTGACACATAAAAGGTCGTTTGTGATGATTTAGTAGCCGCTGATCACGATTATGGCATTCATTTTGCTCTAAGCATTAATTTAGAGCCTCAGGATAGGATGGCAAAACATGTCTAATTATGAGGTATTCCTGACTTGAATAAGTGAAATAGCCTAGTCTAGCAAGGATCTCTTGTGACTTTGACCTTGTAGCAGCATTGTATGGTAAGCTAAAGCACAAATAGGGGCCCGCTAAGCTTCAAAACATTTCAAAACATCTCGGAATTTAGTATACAAGATATAAGAAAAAGTGCAAAGTTTGTGGTCAATTTTGATCATGACCATGACCTTGAATTTGAATGTTATGCACATCATCGGAATCCTCAGACTCTCGTCTTTCATTTAAAATCCATTTTAGCCGGTCTTATGCACCATGCCGTCCCCTGGAACACGCACTTTGAGACCACTACAAAAGTGCCGGTTTTTGCCTTTGACCTTGACTTTTAACCTTGAAAACTGACCTGAGGTCAAAAATTTTAGCTGCTTTAGAATCTTCGCGTAGATACCTTTCGTTTGGTACCATTTTTGTTTCCGTAGCTGCCTTATTTACGGAGTTAGACAAGGGGGGGGGGTACCCCCGGGCTGCGATGGTTGGGATTACCCCCGGGCCCGGGCGGGCTAAGGTCGCGAGCAAATAAAACTATAAAATTAGATTGCGAGACACAAACCTGTGAAAACGTTATGTTGTTCGTTGAGATGTAAAATGGTGTATTTCTCAAAACAATAATCAGTACCTAGTTCTCTTTTTCCCGTAGTGCGTACCTATATGTGCGATTCTCTCGCACACGATTGATATGCCAGAATAAGCTCAATTAGGGCGATCCAATACATTTCCAGATAACTCGGACACACATATCTATCACATTTTGCCATACCTATGTGAGCTCAGTCTCAGTCTAAGGGTTCCTAAAAGAGGGTGATCTCTTCTCTGGCCGATTTTGACAACCTGCCTCTCAACCTCCTCGAGGTCAAGCTCGAGGGCAGCATCCTGGTGAATGAAAATGAGTAGGAGAATGAGTGGGAGTAGGAGATATGCGACAGACGGTCCGAGAACGAACGTTCTGCTGATATACTTGATACGGGGACCGTCAAAAACAGGCGTGCTATTAGGTATAACCGCCTATCATGAATGTTGCACCGGTCTTCTGTTTCCATTTCAACATCAGCCAAATTTTGTGGGGGCAAAAACATAGTCTTTCCCCCACGGCCTCCTGCCAGTGGGGGCAGTGTGCCCCCACTGCCCCCACGGTGGCGCCGCCCTTGTTCAATTTAGCTCAAAATTGGCATACAGAGCCTCCTCGATGCGCTTATTCCGAAAATGTCCATTTTTGGGGGGCGGGGGTATTTTGCACCGTTAACAAGTTTACGGCCAGGGGTGAAAAATTGTATCGTTTTCTCGTTGTCGACGACAACCGAGAAGACGATCTTATGGCGACCACGCGCAGCGCCTGAACTGATTAACTCCTTCCGCTTAGTGCGGTTAGAAGCGCACAATCCATCCGCCTCTGCCCAAGCAACCCAATCAACTCTGCCCACGGCAAACCATTCTCTGTCCCTCCCCATGGGGAGCATTCATTCTGGCCAGGGTTCATAATGTCCAGGGCACGCTATGCCCAGTGTCAAAATGGCCAGTGCCTTGAATGGGCCAGAGTTCATAATGTCCAGGGATTGCATGGTCCAAATGTGGCCAACTGGCTGCAGATAGGGTATATTCAAAGAGGCCAGGGTTCATAATGTCCAGGGCACGATGTGTCCAGTGTTCAAAATGGCCAGGGTTCATAATGTCCAGGGCACGATGTGTCCAGTATTGGAAATGGCCAGGGTTCATAATGTCCAGGGCACGATGTGTCCAGTGTTCAAAATGGCCAGTGCCTTGAATGGGCCAGAGTTCATAATGTCCAGGGATTACATAGTCACTGAAAGTGACGTCATTATGTAAAAAACACGGAATCAGCTCAATGCAAAGCAGTGCAGTGCCGAAGGCAATGCCTTAGGAGAGATTACAGGCAATAGTAAATCAAATATTTTTAGGTTAAGTGGTTATGTATCTGGCTTCAGGCCGAAGGCCTGAAGCCTGATGCATAACCACTTAACCTAAAAATATTTGATTTACTATTGCTTGCAATCTATTCATGCGAGACACTATTTCCTTATCCCTGGTAGGCAAACATCATTACCTTAGGTTAGCTTAGGTTAGGTTAGGTTAGGTTAGGTTAGGTTAGGTTAGGTTAGGTTTGGTTGGGTTGGGTTGACTATGTAATCCCTGGACACTATGAACTCTGGCCCATTCAAGGCACTGGCCATTTTGAACACTGGACACATCGTGCCCTGGACATTATGAACCCTGGCCATTTCGAACACTGGACACATCGTGCCCTGGACATTATGAACCCTGGCCATTTTGAACACTGGACACATCGTGCCCTGGACATTATGAACCCTGGCCTCTTTGAATTTACCCAGCTGCAGCCAGTTGGCCACTTTTGGACCATGTAATCCCTGGACAATGTGAACACTGGCCAATTCAAGGCACTGGCCAATTCGAGCACTGGGCACATTGTGCCCTGGACATTATGAACCCTGGCCTAAATAATACGCACCCCTCCCCATCACATCGCCTCGCAGTTCGAGTCCGTTACCTCCCGTACGCGGCGGTATCCCAGTGGAAAATTTCTTGGTAGCTACAGACATATTCCAACTCCCCGTAGCTATTTAGCATATACTGCGTCGTTCGACCATCGTTCGGACGGCCGATCGGCGACCCTCATAAAGACGACCAATGGCATACCAAGTGGTCGCCGTGGTTGTCCGCTGGCAACACGTGTCTGGCAAATCTAGTACATTCCAGGACTCGGCCGGCCCCTGCCCGCACCCTTCAGCGCCGCCCCCGGCCGGCGCGGCGGCCAGTTAGCGTCCCCTCCAATCCGCCGGGGCTCCTTTTGTGACGTCAAAACCCACCCCGGTGGCGCCTGGGGGTAGGTCCGCGGCGGGACATCTTGAGTGGGACCGTGTCAGTGCCGGTGATGTTTTGATGAGGCCGAGGGGAGGGCACGCCATGTCATACCCACGAGGATATGGTGGCTCAGGACTTCCGAGGTCGAGGAACACGGACCGTCGGACAATTGAGCCTGACGGCTGAGCGCCCTGCGCTATCAAAAAGGAGCGGAATTATAATATATTCGCATGCAGGGTCCGTGGCGTCTGCACGACTGAAGTGTACCAACTTGAGCACGTTTTGTTCAAAGGTGAGTGGAAGTCGACCAGTGGCACCGTCGAAGGGTCACCGAAAGGGTCAAAAGGGCTATCTAATCTTTTCCGCGGCGCTGTACCTACAGCTCTACATAATTGGTTCCCGAGTTGTGCGCCGGTGTTAAAAAGAAATATTGGAAGGCAATATCTTTCATTTAATGACCTCTGGTGACCTGACCTTTGACTTAGCCTATAAAACGAATGTCATATTTTCGCTTTTATTTTGGACGTTCTTTCGAATGCCGTTTACTGCTTGTCACTACGTGACCGGGGCGGGGTGTTTGACCCCCCCCCCCTCCCGAGCAGGGCGTGGAAATCAAGGACCCTCAGCGGGGCGCGGGTTAGACATCTCGAGTTGACAACCAAATAAGCCCGTTTTCCTTTGGACGACAACCACCGAAACACTTTTTCCAGCCCTGTTTACGGCCAATTAACGTTTTAACGGGAAACGGCGGGGTCTTTCGATTAGGCTGAAAATCGGTATGCATACAGATTACAGGGCCTCCAGTCCTCGATGTGCTGATTTCGAAAATGTACTCCTTAGAGGTGGTATTTTGTACTGTTAACGAGTTAACGCCAACGGCCTATTGTGGGCCGGCCATTTCGGCCGCCCTCGTCGGAGCCGGGGTCCGCGGATGGTGTTGGCGTCACAGTCGGTAGAGGAGGAGTGAGAGCGTGTATTTAGAGAACATAGGTTTTATGGTGGGTGTCGGGACGCAAGCACGTGACCGGACGGGCAGCCGGCCAGCCAGCCGGCGGTCCCGTGTCGCTATGCGCCCCAGACACCCAGACAAATACAAAAAATAGGGGTCCGACATTTGGGGCCTCCATCGGGAGTGGGAGGCCATGATTTCCTTCTCCACATATCTTTCCTCCCCCAACAAGCTGACAAGAGGAGGCGACCAATAAGCAATCACGACCCTAACTGCATAGATCCACGTATGACACCGCGCATGGAAAGCCAGGTACGACTGCTGCTGCTGCTGCAGGTACGGCTGCTGCTGCTACTGGTACTGGTACGCCTGTTGTTGCTACTACTGCTGCTGCTGTTGTCGCTGCTCTCCGATTCGGTTTTGTCGTCATCGCTAGTCGTCGTCGTTATCGTTGTCGCCATGTTTTGTCGTTGTCGATGTTATGCGCCAGGCACCTCTGCGGGTAGATGATGTCCGAGTTGATCGTGAGGGGCAGCGGCCAGGGTGCGCCGTGACAGTGTGGCCACACCTGTCAACGGAGCGTTGGCTGCCGCCGCACAGCACCGATACCGGAGACGTCAGCGTACCGGAAGCTGGTGGAACTGGCGAGGGTGTTGGTGACCCCTTTGATCGACAGCGCCTTGATGGCGGCGATAGTGCGCTCAGCCATGTTGATGGCGGCTGGCACGGGCGACGAGAGTGACGGACGAACGGACGGAGAACAGCGAAGCACGATGAGCAGATGAGGTAGCAGCGACGGCAGGCGGCCATGTGGGTCAGCCAGGCGTTGGCTTTGGACCTAGGCCACCTGCTGGTTGCAGTTGCAGCCGTTGCAGTCGGTGATGGCGTCCGCAGTTGCAGTGTGTGATTCGTGGACCAGATGCAGAGCGACTGAGACAGCCAGACGGATCGGCGATGAGCTTCCGACCCCATCATGACTATCATCAGCCAGCTTTTGCAGACCGTGATGCGTATCGGCGTTTCTCCGTAGTCGATGCTCGGGGAGTCAGATAGTGGCCACTCCCAGATGGGTAACAGAAACTCAAGGACTGTAATAGAAAAAGAACCGAATTAAAATGTGCCGAAACAATGCCCCAACATATACATCATACAAAACAGTCATTCATATTTACAGCTGTACAGTACAACATTTGTACAAAAGGCACGTAGCACTGGGCGACACAAGTGTCGTAATGCTTCCCCAGGCGTGCCACGGAACCCATGGACTTTCAAAGGCCAAAACATTCGGGTCCGTAGGACATTCGAATTTGTTTCCGTGTCCAAGTATTCAAACATGCATCCACATACACTTTTTATTACAATGTTGTGCTATCGCTGTGCCGGTCAGTGATACATTTTCCCTGATGTGTGATAACAATTGTGTGATAAAACGGCAGTATGAACTTTGTGAAGGCTGAACATTCATTGGAAGACATCATTATATAAATGACACAGAAGACATGTTTTTGACACAGCGGGTAGCAAAACATTGAATGATTGTTAAAAACGGGCAGTACCGCCGGTCAGTCGATCGAGAGATCGTTTACGTCGCAAAGTGAGTAGTAAGGAGAAAAAAATGGGGCTAATGAGCCAATGACTAGCAAAAGACCGGTTTTAATAGTACTCCCAAGTGACTTACTTTAACGAATAAATTGAAGAGGCCAATGTTTTTAGTGGGTTAAAGTGTTATTGGAATATCTAACTATTTTTAGAACTTACTTGTTATTTAATAAAAAAAATATACGGTTGAAAAAAAAGAAGTCCTTTTAAAGAGTGGCGTCTTCTGAACGAGTGCATCTGTGTATCACGTCATACCCGTGAAATCGTTTGGGAAGGCATGCAAACAGCAATACTTCTAATGTAGTTATATCGCTGTAAATTGTTGAATTGGCAAACTTTCTGTGGACAATTTTTTTATTGCCACTTATTACTTTCGCTGGTGTAAATTGTTCAGAATGGCCAAACGTTATTGGTCAATGTTATAGGAGTCGTTTTTTGTTCACCAGATGACCAAAATTAAAGCTAATCAGTAGTTAGTTCGATAAAGTATACTGTTAATTAATTGGGAATATCGAGAAGCATGCATGTCCTTTGGGTATTATTTGACGCTGCACTCGTTCCGCCACAAGAAGCACGAACCTGAAAAAGAAACAGGGCTAATGTGTCAGTATCAAGACATTTTTGACATTGCAACATATGTAAAGAAATGAAAGATGGCAACAGCAAGCGACAACATAGGTTTTGGCAATCATACAAATGAGAATCATTCACCTATCATACTAGCATATATATCTATATCGTGGATGCTTTATTTACAATGAATTGAGCTCAATGAAATTGCAATTGCTCTCTTCTGTTTACATTGAGTAAACCTTTTTGCTCAGCCTTTGGCTGGCGGTGTGCGCGAGGGACGTAATCATCAACCTTCGTTCGCATCACGTGAAATGGGATCTCTGTCACCATTTTTGGCCGTACGTCGGCTATTTACATGCGCGGGAGGGACCTCGTCAACCTCATTGTAACGCAGCATGTCTTCTGCAGGCAAATAATATATTTGAGCGCTAAATGGGCGCTATGTGAGCGCTATGTTCCTTCTTGACGGTCTGGGGGGCGTATGTTTTTGCGAGACCAGAGGTTATACCGCAGGTGATCAGCCTGACTAACCTCTCGGCCTGCTCGACAATTTCGCCAATCTTCCTCCAGCCGTGTAAGATCACTCTGGTCGATCCCATTCTCTTCAGAAGGAGTCACCAACGTCCCTGGCTTTGCCGGCAGTGTAACAGGTGAACGTGCACCGTTGTTGCTGCTCTGTAAGGCATTACCCACGGAACGAATGGCAGATTCGTTGCTGAGAGACTGTGAATCGACGCAGGTGTCGATTTGATCGTCTTCCAAGTTTTGAAGACGATCGATGTTAGGGTGCTCTTTTGTACTTGTGCACTGCCTTGGTGCACGTTTCCAAAATCTGTGAGCACTTTGGTTCATGTGAAAACGACAGGAGTCTACATACCTTTTGACATCGGAGTATATGTTCCTCCAGTAAAATTGAATGCGAATTTTGGAAAGAATGTTTCTGAATAACTTTTGTCCTGACGAAAAAGTGTCATGGACTTTCTCAAGCATCAGTTTTTTCCTTGAATTTGGAACTACAAGTTGTTTCATAAACTGACGAATCTTCGAATGTTGTTTGGCTACATGGTAAAGTAAGCCATCTGAACCTAAGAAAAAGTTGGAAAGAGATTCATTCAGCTTCAGATCAGGGCCTTTAGCTTTCGGTTTCACGAGGCGATCAATGATTGGCATCAAATCTGGGTCTTTTCGCTGTTCAGCTTTGATTTTCTCTTTTGTCCATCCTGCGGTTTCTGCAGAGACATGGCCAAGAAAGTCTGCTTTGTTTTGTGTATCTAATTCGGCACTAGACGAATGGTCAGTTGTAACATTCAAAATACCTGGTAGATAAGTGACATCAAAATCATACTCTGATAGTTTTACAAACCATTTCTTTAAACGACCGCTAAGATGAGTTGACTTTAAGATACATTTTAATGGTGAATGATCTGTCATGACATGAGTGACATGACCTAAAAGATAAGATCGCAAATGATCAAAAGACCATGAAATTGCGAGGCATTTCTTTTCTGAAGTAGAATAATTTCTTTCAGCTTTGCTAAGCTGTCGACTAATAAAAGCGATTGGGTGAAATTCATCACCATATTTTTGTTCAAGTACGCCACTAATGGCGAAATCACTTGTATGTGTAAATAGGTAGAAGTCTTTTCCGAAATTTGGAAATTTTAATAAAGCGCATTTTCGTACTGACCTTTTTATCGATGAGAATGCTTTTTCGCACTCTTTTGACCAAATAAAATCAACATTTTTCTTTGTCAAATGAATTAACGGAGCAGTAAGCTCAGCCAGTTTTGGAATGTGTCTGCGATAATAGTTCGCAAACCGAAGAAAAATACGAACATCTTTCGCTGTTTCTGGCACAGGAAAATCTTGTACCGCTTGTAATTTGGATGCATCTGGACGAATTCCATGTTTGTCAAGTATGAAACCCAGATACTTTACCTGAGATTTCATAAATTCACACTTTGCGGGGTTGATCACAAGATGAATTTCTTCTAAACGAGAACATATATTGTCGAGTTTTTCTAAATGCTCGTCGTATGTTTTGCTACCGATAAGAATATTGTCAACATATCCGAAGGTTGGGACTTTTCAATTAAGAACAATCACTATTCTTTAGAATTGTGATTTTCTATTGAAAATCCCAACCTGAGCTACCTCTCTAGGGGGGTGTTTAGCGTTTCGGCCGCGATTTAGGACATTTTGATTCCGAGAAAAACGGCACGGTAGAATTTTTTGCCATTTTCAGCGTTTGGTCCCGTATGGGGGAGCTACCGGCTGGCATCGGTCGCTTGAAATATAATTAACCCGTTTTGGGGTAATCGGCACGTGCATTTTCCCATAGGGTTAACATGGGGAAAAATTGGAAATTTGATTTGCGAAAAATTTCGTCAATTATATTTGCTGATATTTTTAGGGTCGGATCTAGGGCTGGCACCTCAACTTTTGATGTTAATTATTTAAAAATCATAGGGTACAATTTCGGGTAATCTTGACGGACAGTTACCCCATGTTGAGCCTATGGCGAATTCGAAAAATTATTTTCAACTCGATTTTGCCAAAAAATTTCCACGTTAGATTTTGAAAATGTTCCAATATGTTGTGCCCCGGGGTGTCGGCTATCACGTGGTATGGGTCAGATATGGGGCGATTGAAAAGCACGTGCCACGTGCAAACGTGTTTGATGGGGTAACCTCCGGGAAAATCCGACATTGGCCAACTGGGGGTCCTAAGGCGCGGAAACGACTTCACCTAGCGACACCAAATCAGTGCAGCCGGTGAGCAGATGAGTCCAGCTTGTAGCACTGGTGGTCACGTGGCGCACGTGCTATTGCACGTGCTGTGGCACGGGGTCAATTTTGGTGCTTAAATATACTAGCATTGTGAAATGCAAGGAATGGGGGAAATACCCGTCAGGCCGACAGTTTTTATGATAGGGTCAATCTGAAAACGGGTATAGGCACAGAATGAAGGGGGCTAGAAAACTGCTATCTCGGATTTTTTGTAAAATGAAAAAGTTAAAATTCTGGGGAAATTATATATTCGAAAGGTGAAATTTCCCTAAATATTCCCGTTTTTCAAGTTTAGCTGCCCACCGTTCATCAACGGTGTCACCGGCCGGGATCATCTCTTATATGCTAATGGCCACGGCCATGGGTCATAACATGACATAAACGGCGAAGCTACCCGAGGCCCAGCACGTGCCACGTGGCCACGTGTTTGATTCGAGTACCTCCCAGACTATCGTGTATTTGCCGATTTGTGGTCTTATAACACGTAAACAGCACCAGTCAAGAAGCCTGAAATGGTGCAGTCGGTGAAGGGACAAGTCCTGCTTACACCACCCTTGGTCACGTGGCACACGTGCAAATCTGGGCACCTCCGTTGCGGATATATTTTATAGAATAATATTCAAATGCACATAACTTTGTCAGTTTAAGTCCGATTGGGCTAGAATTTGGTGGTTGGATGAATTGTTAAGCGACAGGAACGAATGCGCCACTTTTGTTGCAGTGCGCCACGTTTGTCTCAAAGCGCCATTTTTGCCGCAAAGCGCAGAATGTGCGTAACTTTGTCGAACATGGGACGATTAGGATGCGCTTTGATTGAGGGATGGCTGCTTAAACGTCAGATATGAATGCACCACATTTGCCGCAGGGCGCCATATTTGTCTGAATGCGTCAGTGTTTGCGTTTTGCCTACGGCGGGCCTTTTTTTGCGGCGGTGTTTGCGTTTTTTTCGGTTTTTGGGTTTGGCGGCGGGCGGCCGTTTTTGCGGTGTTTGTGTTTGGCGGCGGGCGGCCGTTTTTTTCGGCAGTTTGCGGTTGGCGGCGGCGGGCGTGCGATGCGGGCGTTTTTTGCGGCGGTATTTGCGTTTTTTGCGGTGTTTGTGTTTGGCGGCGGGCGGGCGGGCGTTGCGGGTGTTTTTGCGGTGTTTGCGTTTGGCGGCGGGCGGCCGTTTTTTGCGGCGGTTTGCGGTGGGTGGCCGTTTTTTTGCGGCGTTTTGCGGTTTGCGGCGGGCGGTTGTTTTTGCGGGGTTTTGCGGTTGCCGGTGGCCGGCCGTTATTTGCGGTGTTGCGTTTGGTGGCGGGCGGCCGTTTGTTCGCGGCGTTTTGCGGTTGGCGGCGAGGGATGCGTTTTTTTGCGGCGGCGGTGTTTGCGTTTTTTTGCGGTGTTTGCGTTTTGCGGCGGACGGGCGTTTTTTTGCGGCGTTTTTTGCGTTTTTTCTGCGGTTTTCGGCGGGCGGGCGGTTGTTTTTTTGCGAAGTTTGCGTTGGCGTTTTGCGCGTTTCCCGGCGTTTGCGTTTTGCGGCGGGCGGGCGGTTTTTTCACAATTAAAGTCCCAACCTTCGGATCCGCAGTGCTGTTCGACAAGCGCTGCCCGGGCCTATCCGAAGGTTGGGACTTTTCAATTAAGAACAATCACTATTCTTTAGAATTGTGATTTTCTATTGAAAATCCCAACCTGAGCTACCTCTCTAGGGGGGTGTTTAGCGTTTCGGCCGCGATTTAGGACATTTTGATTCCGAGAAAAACGGCACGGTAGAATTTTTTGCCATTTTCAGCGTTTGGTCCCGTATCGGGGAGCTACCGGCTGGCATCGGTCGCTTGAAATATAATTAACCCGTTTTGGGGTAATCGGCACGTGCATTTTCCAATAGGGTTAACATGGGGGAAAATTGGAAATTCGATTTGCGAAAAATTTCGTCAATTATATTTGCTGATATTTTTAGGATCGAATCTCGGCCTGGCACCTCACCTTTTGATGTTAATTATTTAAAAATCATAGGGTACAATTTCGGGTAATCTTGACGGACAGTTACCCCATGTTGAGCCTATGGCATTTTCGAAAAATTATTTTTGAATCGATTTTGCCAAAAAATTCCACGTTAGATATTGAAAATGTTCCAATATGTTGTGCACCGGGGTGTTGGCTACCACATGGTATGGGTCAGATATGGGGCGATTGAAAAGCACGTGCCACGTGCAAACGTGTTTGATGGGGTAACCT